ATCTTTCACTATTCCACTGGGCTTTTGGATTTCTGCATAACATTTTCTGTTAATTGTTAAAACACTTTCCAGATAGTTAAATTATTTGCCTGATTCTGGCATCTCCAATTTGTAGTTCAGATCTTGGGTAGTTTCTTCTGCTAACAACCATACATTCTGTCTTCTTACAATTGATGGTTAGTCTATAGAAATTAAATCTTATATATATTTTTCAACAAATAAAATCCCATCAGAAGGTTTGTTTGATAAACAATCATTCCAAGGGCAAATACTGCCAAAATACCTGCAGACAAAGTTTGTTGTGCAGACAGAAATAGGTAACCTGAGAGACAGAACCTTGTTGTTGTTACTGTTATGGAAGTTAATTCCTTCTCTGCCTCAGCAGACGTAAAAAGAAAACAATATTGAGTATGGGCAAATAAATGTATAATTTATTTACATACATACAAATCTAGTAACTTTTATCTGTTGCTGTTGCTAAGGCAACAGGGATAGAGAATAATGAAATTAAACATTGCTGATAGCTGTCATTATTGTTTCTCTCTCAGTGTGTTGGTGTTGATATGAAGGCTAGTTTGTGTCATGTCTCTCAGCTTGATGTCCAAGTTGGTCTATGTTGAGTTTGTTTTAATTAGAGAATATATAGCCATCATTCGATTCCAAATTTAGATTTTGGTTTAGAGGGAGTGGCTCTGATTGGTCAATAAATTGTTCGCTTTATTTTGATTGTATGTGTGGAGCCTATGACCAGAAAATGTATTTACACAGTCTGCTTTGGATCATCAAGCAGTGTGTGGAAAAATGTAAAGGCTCCCCCCTTCTAGAAAATTGATTGGGTATAAGCTGTATCAATTTATTAGTAATAAGTATAGGTTTTGAAATTTTGGGGAAATGTGACTTTTCTTCCTGATCTGATTTGAACTGTTGTTATTTTCTAAATGGTCCAAAAATAACACATGGTAGGTTTACAATTTGTCTTGCTTCTTACATCTTTCTACAAAAACCGGATGTTGACTGCTCGACAATCAAAAGCAGACTGAGTAAATGTTTTCTGCGAATAGGCTCCATGCATACACATACACACAATGGAAGAGAGACAGCCAGCAGCCACCAACTAAGGCCATGTCCATGCACAAAATAGAAGAGATTAACCAGCAACTGCCAACTAAGCCTTTTGTCTACAAATACCCAAACACATTAAGCTGACCGTCATAAAGTAAGTCTGTCCACACATTTCACACTGCAATAGGAACACTCAATTACTTGACAAAACAAACTTCACTGCAAGAAAAACTGAACATTATTTTCATTGTATATCTCTGAAGAGAATATATAAATGTTATTTCAACTGACGTTTTGCTTCTACTTTTCCTCCAGAAAATAACCTTTTTTATGTTTCATTTAAAACATGTGTTGTTCATTATTTACATTATTCGGACTATTGTCCTCATCTTTGTCGCCATATTTATTACAACGCTTCAGCTGTTGTATGCCTTATTCAGGTGGTTGGAATGTTGAACTGAACCCTTTATTTCGCTCACTGAGGTAGGCTATTCAAGTTCCATGTGCCATGTTTAATGGATGTCAGTTATCAGTTATCTCCTGTTAATTTCCCTCTGAAAGTTCTCCACTGCCTTAGCCGGGTATTGGGTTCTGTCACTGGATCTAACCAATGCCTTTATCCACTGTGCCATGTGTCCTTGAATATAGACAGATACAGATGTGTTGTTGTTAAATGTTTGGAATCCCAACACTCAGGTAGCAACAAAACCTAGATAGACAGATCCAAACAAGTCCTTTCTTCCAGCTTTCTTTTACTAACTTGTCTAGGAATTTGTTATGATCCAAAATGATGATGGTATTTCATCATTCTAAAAACAACCTTTCTACCAGTGATGATTGATGATAAGGATATTTCATCATTCTGGAAATAAAGATAAAAATTTCATCATCTAAAACAACCTGGCTACCAGTAATGATATATGATGATGATATTTCATCATTCTAAAATCTGAATCTTCATCATTATAAAAATGACCCTTTCACCACAAGTGAGGTCAGTAGAGAACAGTAGAGTAGCTGTAGTAAAAAGAACGACACAGACATATCTTCTTTGCTCCATAAAAATCCACAGTTAACAGTCTCAAATGCTATCCATAACAGCAAAATTCTCAGAACAAGCACAAACTTTTAAAGAAACAAATGAGGCAATAACACTGAGAATATTTTTAACACACACAATACCAATATTGTAATTGACATCATGAAAACAAAAATACACATTTTTGTCTCAAAGTTTTATTGTTGTTATCATTGTATATTTTATTCATTTCATTTTCAGTAAAAAAAAAAAAAATAGAGAAAAGGAATCCTTTGTGGAATTTTCCACAACAAGCCAGTTAACCCCTGCTAGAAAATGCACTATTCCTGGTGTAATTTTCACCATCACAATCTTATAAAATATATAACAAGCATTCATTGGTTAATCACCTTCAATCTAGCTTGCTGATTGGTCAGTTCCGACCAATCAAACCGCCTGCATGTGACAAATATGTTTTACTGCGTTTTCCATCTGAGCCAGTCACGTGATTCACAATGATATATAAACAGAACATGTGTAAACTCCCTCGTGTTTCTTTTCATTTCTCTCTCATTCCTTGCTACCAAGTACCAAGATGTAATCTTCAAGAACTCCCGTCTTAACTAATGCAGTCAGACATTAAAGACCGTTACCAACATTCACGCAAGTACAAACTCTGAAATCTTTTCTAAACTTTTACCAACTTGTACAATACACAATTCCAAACATGCTAAAGAAACTTTGTTCTTCTAAACTACAGTTTAATAATTACTTTCACTTTATGAACTTAGGTACAAATATTACCTAATCTAAGAGACACAACTCTGTCTAACCTTTTCACTCAGTATTCATGTATGTATATCAAATATTAATAAATTCAAATGTTACATTTTGAAACAAGATGTTTATGAATCTTTATTCTCTGTCTTGTATTAATTGTTGTGGATGGAAGATTATTGAACATACACAATTTTAAGCCTTCTCGTCATTCAAACCTTCTATTCCTCTCCAACACACATCACACATCCGCAACACCTTTATCAACTACAAATATATATAACAATGGAGTAACTTACATTACACATACCGAACATTCGACCCTGTTACAAGTTCCTGTAGTTTCCTTTTTGTATCTGCCATCAACACAATGTCATTGGCATATTTTGTTAAGATTGTGCCTACCAATAATAAATCCTAGTCAGACTTATTGTTCTCTTAGGATCTTTTTGATCCCGTGAGAACATGTATCCTTGTTTTATGCCCCTTTCTATTTTTGTGCAGTTGCTCAATTCATTTTCTCATTGTATCCGCTTCTAATTGCAGATAACTGTAACTGATTCAGCCACCAAGCAGACTTACAGATGATGATAAAGAAAAAATACCAACAAATATACTTACTCATAAAAAGTAATACTTAATATAAGATTTAAGGATCAATTAAATGTGATGATCTTGTGAATACTTTTGTTCATTGACATTCTCTTTAGGGCAATATGAATAAGTAATAAGTTACTTTCTGGAAATAACTTTTAAAATCAACTAAAATAAAAATGAACGAGAGATAAAATTTTAAGATAACTAAAAAACAAAAAATGCAGAGCAAACAAGTTCATAATGTCAAAAATAATGACACCTACACACAAAGGTGTCGTTTTAACGTGTGTTCTACTGTAGAATGCTGCTTTCTTAAGTGTTGGGGTTACCAATGTTGTATGCTAATCTAACGTCGGTAATTGGTAACGGGTGTTTGATTGAATAGATAAATGTGGCTGCGTGTTGAATAAGCATTTAACATTCATACATAATTTTTTAAATATCAAGGAAAACAATGAAGAACCAATTTGTTTCAACGAATAAGCATATATATTAAAATCAACAATAAATACAAGGTAGTTGTATAATGTGTGAATAAGGAGAAAAAAAGTAGTTCCCCTTTATCTGTTAGGAAATGCTTTTAAACAAGTTTTTCTGAGTATAAAGTTCAGAGTTTTCTGAATATAAAGTTCAGAGTTCTGTGTTAAGATTGAATGTATCTTCAGAAGATTGTTCAGTTGTGTGTTTGTAACTAACAGTTGTTTCAACTTGGTTTGTTCACATAGAACTGATGTATGAAATTCAGGTTCGGTATCTGTGTATGTGTATGTGCAGAGTGAGTAGAATGAATAACACGAGTGAGTAGTTGAGATCTATTGTCTCTGCTCTGTACTCTACTGTGGTCTATTACTCTTCTGTTTGATTTGGGAAATGCATCCAAATTTATACTACTATAGGTGGCTCCCAGCACAAACGCGGGATATATTTTTGAAGGTATACAAAAAATACTCGATTGGATGAAAAATGAACCAATCAGTGATTTTATAACAAAACTTATTTGTGAGCAAACTGTAGGAAAAAAATTCAGTATGGTGAAATGCGATTGATAAATTGTCTTATTATTTTTAGTATATATTAATCGACCAATCAAAGTTGAAGAAATGTAGGCGTGGCACTACACTACCAATCAGTTTCTGCTTTACTAGTGTGTATCCTACCACCACATTTGTATCCTATGTTATTAAGGCATTGTAAATATATTTTTTTACCTATCAGTTTCTGCTTTTTGGCATCTCATAATGCAACAATAAGTGATATCCCTCCTTCTTTTGGCTTTTCCTCCTTCCCTTACGTTAGTTAATGTAGGATACAAATGTGGTGGTAGGATACTCTGATCAGTAGGACACACGCTAAAAAGCGACACCCACAAGGTTTGCTGATAATAAAACTTTTTAAAATTTTAATTTTATAACTGTAGAGGAACGCGTTGTATTGATAGATGGATGTTATTTTTCAGGACCGCAAAGTTTTCAACAATCTTTGCCAACCCAGTATTTGAGATGTTTGTTTTTTAAATATTTCATCGTCCTATGTTTATAAGTGCGACATGCTAACGTTTCTTCTTGAAATTACTTCCCTTGCTAGAGCTCTTCCTATAAAGTCAGTTGCAAAGTTACAAAAAGTAATCAAGTTAAATAATCAGCCGGTTAATTTGAAAGTTATAGAAGTTTTCTGCGGAAAGGTAAGTCGATAATTCTGGGATTTCGAGAGATTGCATATAAATTGGGTTTTATTGTATTTTGACAAGGAATTTAATATTACTACACGATTTCCTTCGTATTTTCATCTATTTTAATTATTTGATTTGCACTTTGCCGTTATAGATACGTAAAATTAAAAACGACAATAATTTTTAATTAATCGGTCGGTACTTCTCACATCAAATCAGGGTAGTTATACAGAATGGCCACTGAAAGACTGATATAAAACAAAACTTTTGTAAACACAATTTTTTTTGTTGTTGTTGTTTTTGGACCATTTTGAATCTTGTATGGAAATATTTTTAAATCCAGTTTCAGAATCTTCTGAAGCGACGTTTTAGCGATACCTAGTTGAGTAGAGCGACGACGGGTAAAAGCTGATGGATCCCCAAGGACACTCTGCAGTACAGCTTCCACCACTGCGTCAGTGCGCTTAGGACCTCTTCCCAGAAGATCGCCGACTGATCCAGTTCTTTCAAACCGGCCGATTAGGTTTCGAATCATATTATCGCTAAGAGATAACTCTGACATTATGTGCCGTTATTTTCTCAGAGTTTGAATAATTAATTGATCTTTCATTGGAATAGAAAAAAAAAAAATCAATGATTTTAAACTCGTTGCTGGACATCATATGTAGCCATTTTAATCTCCAAGGGATGCTCTCTAGTCTATAACCTGCAAAAACAAAGAAAATTAAAAAAAAAAAAAAAAAAAAACGAACAAGTTATGACTTTTTTTTTCAAACCTTCAGTTTTTCAGTGGGTGACCACTATGTGCGTCACGTATATCTTGGTCATGCCTTGGTCCAAAATTATTTTGCATAAATTATATTGCATTTAGGACGGCAATTTTTCTATTTATTTCTCATGATGTGATGATTCAAAATGCAAAGGAAGACTCGGAATATGAGGTTAAAAATGTGACGGGGGTAATTCAGTCATGAATATAAATAGTTTTGGCTTGGATGTTAAAAAAAAAAATCAATACCCACTCTCTAAAAATAAATAAATTTATTTCTATAAATAAAAATAACTGCAATTAATACAATTTTTCTTCCTAGAAATGAAACTCTGAATATTAAATAAAAAATTATTTCATTGATTTTATTTTTAATGAATCATTCGTCACATCGTCCACTGAACAATCGTACAATATTTCATAACTTTGTTTTGGAATTTGTTGTCTTTGTAAGCCAATGGCACAGCTGAAAAATAAACGACAAAAACTAACAGCAACGAATGACGAGGCCTCCTTTTTCTGTTGTTAGTTAACTGTTTTCTTTATTATTTTTCCTTTCTTTTTTTTCCAAATGAACTTCAAAATCTATTTGCCATTTTTAAGTAAAAAAAATAAGTAAAAATTCGAACGGGGAAAGTTTGATTGTTTTCTCGGAGAAAGCAAACATACATTTTTTTCAGTTTAAAAAATGTTTTTATTTTTCAATCGCTGCAAGTGCGCGTAAAATTTTTAAAAAATCGGTTAAAAAAAAACTTTCTGCAGCTTACTTTCAAAACTTTTTTTAATCGCATTAATTTTTTTCTAAAAATATTTACACTCTGAAGTAAAGCAGAATGAGTTATACTTTCTGAAGTTTCTTGAAGTTAGTTTTTAAATTTTAAAAATAAACAACATCACCTAACGAACCGGATGAAAGTAAAATGTAAAATTTTAAATGATTTATGATTAAAATTTAAAAAAATGAAAACAATTCTTGTAAAAATTTATTATTCCTCTAAATTTTTTTTCTTAACAACAATAATAATAGTGAAAAGCTTTAGGTATCTCCTCTTTTTCGTTAAAAAGTAACAGATTGCATGATCAAAAAAAAAGACCAAAGTATTTTTTTTATTATTTTATTGAATTTTTTAATCTTTTTTAGCACGTTCGAAATTTTGGTTAAAATCTCTTTTTTTTTTTTTTTTTTTTTTTTTTTTTTTGCATCAGCGGTCGATGTAATATTTACGATGAGTGTTTTTGTTTTTTAGTTTTATTTTTCTTTTTTCAGTGAAAAACACATTGATTTGGAAATTCTTGCAAAAATCAAATAATTGTCGGATTTTAATGAAACTTTCGATACTTATGAAATTATTTTTGAAAATTTGTTCAAATCTTGGTAAATACTTTTTCGGTACTTAAAAAAGGTTAAATTTTCATAAATGAAAAACCTTTCTTGAAGATTTTTTTTTTTTTTTTAGCTTTAATTGAAAGCTAAAGGATTAAATTTACTATTTCCAGTAAGCAAAATACTCTGTAACGTATTTCAAGAAGAAATTCTATTGGTTGGAGTAATTCATTTTTCTTAGGCTAAAAATAGCTGATTTTAAGTTATGTCATTGCAATGTAATTTTCTTTATTAAAAAATCTTCCAAAAATAAAATATACTTTTCTGAAACTTTATTTGAGGAATATTAGCTGATTTAAAGTATAATTAATCTGATTTGAAAGAAATATTATTTACTTGAAGTTGAAAATAAGGATTTTTAAAACAAACAGTAGCAGTGATTAAGTACTTCTCAATGCTCGTAAATCACTTACAAATGCTTCTGAAGGTGTTGTTGACAGTTTTATTTTATTTTTTTAGTAATTTTTTAACAACCGAGTCATCTTTAAAATTTAAGAAAATATATTAAAATTTCTAATATTTTATTGAATTTTAGTTACTTTAGCTTTATAGCCTTGCTTACAAAAACGCTTCTTGAGAAAATGCTACAAAATTACTAATAAATTTTAAATTTATTATAGGTACCTCTCTTATTGTCTCTAATGTTGTGTATGGGTGTCCATATTTACAAAAATTAACACAATTACACACACATGCAAAAACTTTTTTAAAATACTAGGGTTTGTTTAATAGTAAGTTTTTCTATTCATGATTAATAAATAGCTATATAATTTAATAACAATTTCCCTTGACTGAAATTAATAATGAATTTTAAAAGTTTAAATCAAAATTTCATAAAAATTAAATGAGTAGGGGGTAGCATATATATTTCTAAAAAAGGAAAAAAAAACTATGTTTAAAAAATATTGTCATTCATTTCTAAATAAGTCCTAAAAGTTTAATTAAAATTTGACAGTTATCTGATTTTTACAAGAATTTCCAAAAAAAACGGTGCGAATGTTAATCAAAAATAAAATGTGAACATCTTGGGTTGTACAGTCCACCGAGCAGGTTCAGCATACTTGTATTTAGATTAGGGAAACCGAAATAATAAAAACGATTAAAAATAAGACACCATAGCTTGGAAATCAATCACATTTTGTTATATTAAACTTTTCTTTTTTTTTTTTTTTTTTTTTTTTTTGGTCATGAGAATTTGTTAAACATAAAACTAATTTGTTGATATGATTCTCAAAAATGATGGATTGGCTCAGTGATTGTGATTTACAATTAAAATTATCATCATAATCGATTAAAATGTTTTCTATATTTTATGTCACATTATGGTGTACAAAGATAAACTGTGTTTTTTTTTTTCTTCTACTTGAAACTGTATTTTAAAATCTGGGTCAATGTAGCTAATTATTATTTACTTTTTAGCTTTGTTTGGCACAAGGTCACAAGAATAGAGCGCCCAATAAGATCAACTATTTATTACTAATTATGGTTAACTCTGCTAGCTCACTATCCATTACCGCTTTTTGTTACTTTTTATTGCAAATAGTTAAATCAGTACTATTGTTTGATTCATTAGAGAGAAAAAAAAAATTTTTTACCATATAAAAAATTTGTAACTATAAATGATATTCATGATGCATTTCAACATTCCTCATTTTTTGCACGGAACACTGCAATTTTAACCTCTTTAAGTCGACAATCAATCATTACCTATCCTCATAATCTTCTTCATTCTGTCACTTTTTACATTCATATCACACACCTGTTTCAATAACTCTGTACTTTGAGTGGCTCTTGAGATATTATTAGATATTAGGTGGACCATGTTTTGCAAAAAAAAAAAAAGAAGCAAAAAAATCCTTACGACTGACAGTCATGTTATCTACTGACACTGGTCCAGTAAAGACTCTATTGAGAAAAACTACTTAGAATTTATTTCTGAATAACAATTTTACTTTAACTCTCATCAAATGTGACAACCTGATCCCTAAAAGGTAGTAATAAAGATGAAAGAAAAAATAATGAAAATACACACATAATGATTATTGGTGCAATATTGAATGAGTGAGCCAAGTTCAAAATCTGGGCTAACCTGTTATGTTCCCTCAAGAAAGGCATGAATCCATTTTTCTCCTTCCTTCTCTGTGGGTTCTCTAGCCTTGAGTAGCCACCAATCAAGAAGGACAATTCTGAATTCAAAACTGGAGAAAGTAATGGGAAACCAACCCATTGTTTTTCGCAGGAAGTCCTGCCAATTCACAGATATTAAAATAAGGAAGCTGTGGAGAGCTATGATTGCCTCTGTCCTGAAGAGACATGGCATAATTTTATTTTTTGCAAAATGTATTTTCCCAGTAATTGCTAACAGATTAAAAGAAAATTTTATTACATTTTTAAAGCAAATAAACATTTTATTTTTTTTATACCGAGGTCTAAGAAATTTAAATAAATTTTAGAGAACACTGTTAAAAGGGTCAGTTTTTTTTTTATTATAACAAAGTAGTAATGCTATTCTGGCAAAATAGTAATGTTTCAAATTATGTTTTAGTGAAATTATTCTTAATGTTAATTGTAAAGCAGAAAGAGTTTTCTTTTCTCAGCTATTCAGCTCATCTAATTTCTTAATAGAAAGAAAAGTTAAATTCTTCATTTTCCCTGCAAATGGTTTCTACTTTTCAAGTAAGAATTACTAAACAAGAATCAAACATTTCTACTTCTTGTGAGTTCTATGCATTTTTCTTCAGGAGATTTTTTTTTTTTTTTTTCATAATATTTAGAAACTGTTTAATCAATTAATCTCAAGTAATCAAAGACGCAAGGGGCAACTGGGAGTAAAAGAAAATGGAAAGACTTTAGAAGGAA